ACAATGATTGGATTCTGATATAAATTGTTAAATTTAAGTACAGTATGACTGAGGATGTGATCTAAAAAAGGGTTAAAAAGGCATCTCAGACTTGAATGATGTGTTTGTTTTCTCTCAGAGTTCTCCCTTGGCAACGACCTGTCCTCCCTGTCTGGGTTTGGAAGTTCTGGTCTTGGATCAGTTACAAACTGGCAGCAGCAGCAGATACAGAATCTGCAGCACTCAGCACTCGGACACATGGGGTGAGCATCTATCATAGCGTGTTCAGATTCCTGTTTCTTCAGACGTACATCGAACGGTCCCAGACAGATTTCTTCTTCTAATCTGAGACAAAAAAAGTCTGCACAGGATCTGGTGTCACATCCATCACGACTGGTCAGGTTGTTTGAGGTTTAGAGACCCGACCTCACCCTGTTGTGTTGTCGTTATTTTCATCTTCACAAAGGGAGTCCGCCCAGTCTTTGAACCAGTTTCATTCATCATTTATTTGAACAGTATCATCTCTTCATTGTACAACTGCAGGTTCGCCTTTACGCTGATGACACTGTCCTTTATTCCTGTGCAGATTCTTTTCGTTCAGCTCTACATCTACATTCAACCTCCTCCAAAAAACACCTTCAAAATCTAAAACTGGTCCTAAACTGTAGAAAAACAAAATGGATGTTCTCAAATGCTCCGTCGGTCTGGAGACCCAAATATTTGAGCCTTATAATGCACATTTCTTTTTTTGTAGGCAGACAAATTCGTCCACGCAGGAACGTTTTTCCCCAGAGACTTTTCTTATGTTGGATTTTGGAATTTGTAGCCAGCCTATCTAGAGATACTCTGTAGTACTACAACGATTAAACGAAGGGTTAAAAACTGTAATTAAACACCATGGGGGCCCCTGTGTCTTCTCTTATTTTATGCTTCTATGTTTTTATTTTCTCGCCTTCCAGAAACTTGTGTCAGAACTCGAACTTGAACCTCGTCGGCCACCAGCACCTCCACATCAAGTCCGAGCCGGCTTCGCCTCCCAGGGACCGTGGCATCGGGATGATCGGTGTGGGGCTCGGCGGAGGCGTGACCACAGCCGGATACTCCGTCACAGGCCGGGGCCCCGGCGAGCCGGGTCACTCCCCCGGGGACAGCGCGTCCAGCTGCGGGAGCTCGTACGAAGGCAGCGAGGAGCGTGAGGATCACCACGGGAACGACAGCTTCCTCCTTCGATCTCTGTCCAGTCAGGAGGAGCATCACAGCCCGTCAGTAAAGCGGATGAGGCTATCAGAGGGGTGGGCGACATGATGGGAGCCGGGCTGCAGCCAGAGGGGAGTTAGTAAAGTTACCTTATAGTGTTATTATTATTATTATTATTATTATCATATTCTTCTTGTACTGAGTGGGTGTGCTATATGTGTAATGGTAACATGTACATGAGGGGGAGTCAGACTGCTGTATTTACAACATGTACTGTAGCTGTACACTACAGGAAAGTGATCAGTATTTATCAAACTTCTAACACTCAAAGAGTTCTTCACTGAAACTGAAGCAGTGTAACATTTCTCAGGCGACTTCCCTTCGACTCACAGCGACGAGCCACAATCAGCCAATCAGAGACAAGGATTAACCCAACATCTGCCACAGTGCTCAAAAGATAAACCCTCTCATTTGGTGACATTCGGCAAGAATTATTTAGTATTTTAGTTCATTTTCTCACAGAAAAACACATCAATCTAATATATATATATATTTATGATGTGTAAGAGGCGAGGGCGTGCAAAAGGCTAGAAGAGGAATAAAATATGTTTTATTTTTGCTGTTGTGGCTGCATTAATGAGTAGCATATAACAGCTAAGTTCACCATATCATCCTGATTTTATTGGATTGTTTTTATCTACCAAAAGTGTTTAACGCTGGTAAGAGGCGTCAAATAAATAATAATAATTGGCTGAAATGGAAAGAAATCATACTATAATGTTCAATGATAGCACTGTAGGCTAAATCTGCCCTGTTCTACATTATATACATCACTTCTGATAAATTATTACTGGTGTTTAGTCAGGGTTAGGGTGAAGGTTTTTGTGTCTTTCAGTGAAGTCCAGAATGTTTTAGCAGTTTGATAAATCGGAGTCGAACTCGTACTCAAGCAGCTGGAGAGTCCGTCGGTGTACATGCATCGCTTGTTTTGTGTGTGTGTTCGGGATATAAGTAAATAACAAATATGTTACATGCACATTGACATATGTGCACATGTATGCAAACTAACACAAAAAAGGTAAAAGTGAAGAAGTCTGGTACTCTGAAGCTACTGGTGAGTTCAATAACCTTTTGGAGCCGTGAGAGCAGGCGTCCCGAGGCGAAGCGCTCGGTCCACGCCGTGTTGCAGGTTCAACATATTTGCGCACATTTTAAAAAGAATAAATAAAAAATAGCACATTTATATATGAATGTATGGAAGGTAAAGCGTGGCAAATAAAAAAAGACAGGTAGAAAGAGAGAGGAAGTTCAGCAAGAGAGGGAGAGTAATGAAGCTCTGGTGAGAGAGAAATGGTGGCCGAGGAGGTTTTAGTGTGAGCGAGACGGACGTTTATTTGCAACAGGTTGCAGAGAAAAAGACGCTTTGGACAATTTTCACTTGATGTGAAGACGCTTATCAGAGTTAGTGAATAATTTTCAGAGCTGGGTTAGAAAAAAAATTTGATTTTTTTTAAGCGAATGCAATCCAGATACACAACAGTACGGAAGCAAAGAAAGGCCGAAATTAACCACAAATTTTATTTTTTTGGATTCACATTCTCGTTTACTGCCACAAATACTCAAACATGAATTAAATATAAATTAAAGTCTCCTAAAAACTCTTTTATTATTAATTATATTGATTATAAGTAATTAGTGATGGAAAACTACAAAACAAATCAAAAGAAATAAAGTAAAAAAGCAAGAAAAGTTTATTTAACAGCAACTTTCAACGACTAAAAAATAAAAGGCATTAAGACAAAATATAAAAGACACATTTAAATAGGATTTAAAAGAGATAAATAATAGTTATATAAAAAAATTCCTATAATGGAATAAAACGAGACGTTTTAAGGGATGTTACTAATTGTTGTTTGTAAATTTGTAAGGTTTCAATATTTTACTTTGAAAACTATCAATCTGAATTTTACGTGGATTGAATTTTAAATTTATTTAATTTAATTTAATTTATGATTTTTGATTTTTTTTTTACATATATATTTCAAGTATTCAGAAAAATGTCTTCAATAGTGGTTTCATAATTATAATTTTATTTTATTTTTAGAGCTTTTTGCCTTTATTTGACAGACTTCTCTATAATTGTAGTTAACTTGTGTTCTATACTGATGATTGTTGCTATACAAATAAAAAAAAAAAGAGTTATTATTTTGGCCTTTACTTGCTTCCATACAAAAAGCACCTGTGTCATTTTCCATTTTCAAAACAACTCATCTGTGTTTTTACACATCAAACAACAGTAATAAGTCACATTCGTACTTTGTGGGTGAGAAATAAAACTTCCCTCATGGCCTTGTTACACAGACAGAGTAAGCATGTGCTGATAGCTTAGCAGGATTTAGTGGTCAGAGTGAGGATTGCACTCCTAAAAAGCCATATCCAACCGGACAGTGATGCTTTGCTGCACACAGTTTATAGTGTTATTGTTTTTTTTTTTTTGAATATTCCTTATTATATCAAATTGATATTCTTGGATGTCCGCAGCTCTATTTAATAACAGTACAGAGTGGGGCACGACATTTTCTATCGAACATTCAGGGAGATTAAAGTTCAGCGGGTGTCAGACTCAACATCATATCACGGTGACAATCTGCTGTTTTCAACTCCGGCACAACTCACGTACAGCGTGTGCAGTGGTGGAAGACGTACATTTACTTTAGTACCAATACATCCATTACAAGTTAAAGACCTCCTGCAGACGTGTGTTTAAGACATATATACAGATAGTCTGCATGGAAACAATAATGTGATTTAATTTAAAGTATAATTTTCACATTAAATTCTACCTCATTAAAAAATCCAGGATCTATGAATATGCAAATTCAAACCCACTTTTTATATCTTCAAATAGCTATTTAAAACCAAACTTGGGTGATAAGACGACTTAAAGTGACAGAAACCTTTTGGGAAAACATTTATTTTACCCATCTGCTGACATGGAGGCAGCCACCAGGGGGAGATAGAGAGGTTTCAATGGTTTAAACCTAGACTCTAATTGTTGCTGTTTGACGTCTTTGGGCCTCAAACTGTTTTAAGTGAAACCCCAAAAAACAAAAAGGTTGTGAAATCCTGGAGGGGCGGACAACAACAACAACACATGTTTACAGCTGTCAGATGAATGCAGTGCAGTAAAAAGGACAAGAAGGATCAGATCATTAAATGAAAATGCTCACATTAAAGTAGAAACAGGAGTAAGTTCCCTTCCACCGCTGTATGTCGGCTGTAACTCGATATTGTGGACAGTCATTTGTGCCTTGTACCTAAAACTGGATCTGACACCCCGCCACAATAAGAGTCTGAACAGACTGAAGCTGACCGTTGTTTTGTTTTATTTTAGAGGCAGAGAGGTGGCTGGGGGTTGTTCACATTTGAATATTTTGGTTTAAAAACTGTATATTTGGAGCTCGGACCCTCGGCCGCGGTCCTCTGTGTCTGTTTGTGCCCCGTTTGCTGTAAATCCAGCGACTAAAATTCACCCATTAGAACCCCTCTAGCTGTTGTAGTTGAAAGCGGGCAGAGCCCAGATATGTTTTCTTTTATGATGATGTCTCCGGGTTGGTCGGCTTCCAGCTCAGATTTCCTGCGCGCCCCCCCGCCCGACTCGTCAGTACAGCAGAGGCGGAGGACAGGAGGGCCAGGAGCTCGTCCTCAGGCTGCAGGCGGAGTGTAAACTAACCAAAGTGTGAAATACCCTGTTTATTTGTGTTTTTGGTTTGATTCTTTAATGAGTAACTGCCTGGACTTTGTCAAATCTGTCATCGACTTACCTCAAATGCCCCTGATGAAATTATTTGTATTTGGCGACATCGGTTGAATGTCCTCTGTACTGTAAACGGGCTGTATTCCCCCCTCTTTATGTGCACTAGTGCTTCTAATAAACACCAGTTAAATATTCTAAAGAGATTGTTAGCGGCATAAGCTGGCCTTTGTCGCCACTTGGAGACAATGTTTCTCAGAAGAAAAAAGACGAGTGCACCTCTGTCGTCGCGGTCAGAGATCATGTACAGCGATTCCCTCACTCAGAAATGTGGTAGTATTTGTATTTTGCAGAAAAAAATATACAAAAATATACGGGCTCTGTTACAAACGTCTCTGTGTGGTTTGTCTTCTTTGCTCCTTCAGCTTTGTGTTTTTATTAAAGGCTGCACATACACAGCGTCTAATAAGCCCCGCCCCCTCAGTCAACTTCCTGCTTTCCTGCTCTTAGATATGCTATATGCTAAGCTAATCTATGCAGAAAACACAACCACATTTTGAAGATGGTTAAAAGATAAAAAAGAGAGAACATATTAAAAACATATTAAGTTAGCTGATGTTTCCAAAACACACGCTAACTAGCTAAAAAAATCGACATTAATTGTTAGCTGGTTAGTTAGCTAATATTATAGTAAACACAACTTATAATATTTGGCCTTTTTTCTAGTTTCAAGGCTCATTTCAGTGTTTCAGTGGCTGATCTTTATGCTAGTTTTAATAATTCTAGGCAAGAGAAATAGTTTTCTCCCATAGGCAGAGTGTTTCTGCTCAAAAGACAATTTGATTATATTAAAGAATATTTAGTTTGTTTTTAGACGGGTTGTTTCTGCAGTTTAGACCCTTCAACAGTTTGTTCTTTAGTTTCCAAATAACGACGGAGAAGAAAAAGACAAAAGTGATTCAATGAAAGCAGGTCGAATAAAGTCCTCATGGTTGTCACTGTGGAAATATGAAATAAAACAAATGCTGGTTCCCTTTTTATGAGGTTGAATTGTGTTAAAAGCAGATCATTTATGTACTTATATATATTATAATATATATATATATTATAATTTATATCTGACATTTGAAAGGGTTTCTTTTTGTGTCTTATTCCCTTCATTTTCCTGAGTTTGTCCTTTTTTCCTTTCAGTCATATTGGCACACATCATGCCGTCTGTTGCAGCTGTAGACCACCAGGGGGCGCCACAGACCTGTTGCATTACAGCTGCTCAAGTTGCTTATAAAGACATTATAATAACAGAAATATTACATAAGTTAGAGAATAATATGTACATTATATTACTTTATTATATATAAGACATTTCAAATATATATATTCCAGTATATAACAGTAATAAATACAAATGAGGACTAATGAACTGAGGGCTGTAATTAACTGTATTATGTCACAGGAATGAAACTAATGATTAAGTTCATTATTGACAAATCAGACAGTTCATTTTCATGATAAAGTGATTAATTGATAAAAAGAGTTCCTGAATTTTGAAAAATAAATGTCAGGACAAAAAGTCCCAAATTTACTTTTACTTAAGTCAAACAAAAGCAGAAACTACAAGATTTTTGCTATTATTGCCTGAAAAAATACTTAAAACTGTTAATTAATTAACATTTGTTGACATGACATTATTATGAGATTTATGATAATTTAACATATATTTACATTTTATTTGTTGTCATTGAAACTGTTTCTTTATATCCAAACTATTCAATATCCACTTGTAAACTTTAGTGACAATTTAATGATTGATTAATGATGGACGGACTATCAATGAGTCCATCAGGCTCTGTGTGCTGCCACCTGCTGGTGAATCAGCTGCTGCTGTGACAAGTGAAAACATTTGGATTCAATTTTACATATCTAACGAATTAATTCACTGATGTAAAACTTAAACTCAACCATCAGCTGAAAGTCCAAAACCAAAGCACCTCAAAGCAGGGACGGTTCTTTATTTCGACTTTAATTTGAAGGCTTGTAGAGAAACATTTCTTCAGGGTTAGTTTACTTTGCAGCAAATGGATTTTTATTTTGAAATAAGACATTTTCTGACTATGATTTATAAATAAAACGGGTCATTTTTTGTGTTTTTTATTTCCAAAAGTAAAAAAAGAAGTCCCATTTCCCGGTTTTGGTTTTCTCATTTCAAAACAAAAGCCCTTCAGACCTCCATTCACATTCGTTTTATTAAGACCATTAGAACTTGAACAGGATTTTGCTGCTGGTTCGGAGGAACAAGAGGGTTTAAAGTACAAACATCTCATAAATTCTGTCTCACAGCTTCGACGAGGACGCAGACAGCTCGTGTTTATTTTCGGCCGTCTGGGTAACGTCCATAGATTGTTGGCTGGCCCTCGGCTCATGAACAGGATGCCAAAATAAAGGGCGAAAGGTTTCAGCAGTTTCTGAAGCCCTGACTCCTGAAGGCAGCGACTCACAGAGAGACTGAGCACAATAATAAAGACCAGTGTTTGTGCCTGTTTACATTTTATTCACACGTGTTTTGATTTGATGGAAATGAAGCTTTTTTTATGTTGCTGTTTGGAAACAGCTGATCCACACACAGCCACCAAACCTGAGCTGTGTTTAGAAGTCGTCAAGGACACCCTGTGAACTGGCCCTCTGCCCAGATGCCTGTGAAGTACCTTGTGTGTGTGTGTGTGTTTGTGTGTGTGTGTGTCTGTGTGATATGCATATGTAACTTGAACAAACACTTTTAGCCGTCCCAAGGCTAACGCATGACTTCAGTAAATATGAGCTATGTACATATCCAGAGGTGGAAGAAGTATCAGTAAACAGTGTGTAAACTCTGGAGCTGTGTTTCTATATGGAGTTGATTCAATCAATAATCTATAATCAATCCAACAATATTCAAACTCAGAGAAATCTGTCATTTTATTTAGGTAACGCTGTGTTTCACCAGTCGCCTGTCGATGGCGTCATATCCCTGAAGCCACATTTTTACCATCCACTCTTTAAATCTTGGTGCTTTTTATATAAATAGAAAAAAAATGATGAGATAAAAAAGTCCATATTTGGTGGCTCTGATTGGTTGTTTTCATTCGGGCCCAGTGGATTCTTGTAAATCCCGTTAGGAGAACCAGGAGGAACCAGAGGAAGCTGATTTATTCACAGACTATCTGTCTCGTGTTCGACTGTCAGGATATAATGAAAGTTTCAGTGAATAT